AGTGACACTGCATGTCTTGCACATATATGAACACACAATCCTCAGCATTATAATCTATTTCAAAGACCAACTTCAAAAAGGCTAATTTGTTAGAACTTAGTACTGTTACAGTAGATATTAAAACCATCTTACATGTAGTAAAGCTAGTGGTGATTGATAGATTACAACACTCAGCATTGCGTATTAATATTTTCATGGCATACAGCAATTTCTCACCCAAACACAATTATAGGCAGGCACTAGTTATGCTTATATTAAATGAGGTGATGCCACTAAAATGGCATAAACGAGGATCTTCATTTTATAATTGTACATTTCTAAAAAAAAAAAAAAACACTTGCAAATTCAACGAGAGCAAACTCCCATGCCTCACACCATAACACTCTATAACACTCACTCTTAAGCTCAGCTCACGTCCACCGGTTATATAATCCTGGACTAAACAGTGACTATCATTTAGGAAAAGACAGGTCCATATCAAAAGATATTTAATATTTGAAATGCTACTAGCAATAATGAATGCAACTGCTGCATTTTTGGATATTAAATTAAAATTATCATCATTCATTAAAGCTAGTGTTTTCACACTTTAAATACAAACATAATTTGATCTAAATTTTAAATGATACAAATACAAATATCTACTAGTTACCAAAATATACAATTCTGGCATTTCTGGAAAAATAAAAAATATTTATACCTTACTAATATAACATTCATTCATAGTCTTCCCTTATACCACAGGAATCAGTATTGCAATGGAACCTTTTAATAAAAACTATGAGGACAATAATAAATATATAAAATCTGGAGAATAAGAAATTAATTTCTTAATTATGCAAGGAAATGTGTAAATACAAAAGTAATAAGTAAACTACAAATAACATACTCTATGAGATGTTCCAGTTAAAGCTGATGCAAGACATGCTCGGAAGAGGTAATGTGACACAAACACTGACTCTCACCCTAGGATATACCAACTTAAAATGGCAATAAATTATTCATCTGAGAATTAAATAAGTAACTTACTGTTCACTTAACATCGTGAAGCATATCAACGCATGTGTTTTTTATACGAACTTTGAGTAAAAATCGGCTATTAGTTCCGTACCGGAAATACAAAAGCCAGCTACTGGTGCGCTTCCTCAGGCTTCGACCCAGTGCCCCTGTCACACATAAATATTAACACCATAAGACTCGTGAAAATCAGCACCAGGAGCTAATGGCCAATTGCACAATTATTGCAGCCTCTAGCAAAAAGCAGGAAAGAGGTACTTAAAGATTTCTTTTCAGCTAACAATATAAAGGACAAAAGAGTGAATAAATGATTAGGAATGGAAAAGGAGGGAATTTCTTAGTGCCTGCCTATTAATGATGTCTAAGACTTACGGAAAAGTCAGTCAACAGTGAAATTTGCTACTTGTCAGCCTACAGTTCAGAAAAGTGGGCACTGCGACATGTACTACTCACAGTGATTCAGGTGAAACCAAAAAAATAACATTAGAGTGTACTATTTTAGAATAAAATTTAAATTTGGGATGTCATACTAATTTTGGAAAGGTAGATAGATAAGCAACAGAAAACATTCCCTGGGAAGAGATGGCTGAATTCTTATACAAGATGAGAAGCTCTGACACTATGGCCTTTTCCTAGTCTTCTGCTAACACATTATTTACTAAATGTCTATTATTTTTTTAAATTACCGGCTCCCTAAATTTGTAAAAAAATATAAATTTGCTCTTTGTATAAATACCAATAATATCTCCATTATTTTCCAAGCAATAAATTAACACCCAAAAGTATCAGAATTTTATTCTAATAAGTGAGGGTGGGAGTAGAGATTTATTCATTTTTAGTAATATTTAGTAGGATGCAGGGAAGTTTTCAACATCTGAAAAATAATTCACTCATTCATGTGAAGCACATTACACAAGTTAACAGGCCAAACACTTACAACTGGTTCTAAAGAAATTCGATCAAGAGTCTGCAACAGAGAGCCAACAAGCGGAGGAACAAAGCTGCAGGTATTCTCACCACTGATTCATTTAGCATCTTGAAAGATGAATCCTAAACTGCAGTAAGGTATAAAGAGGGCTTTGAGATCCAATGCAGAGTGTTAGTTACTGAGATCGTGCGACAAACTCAAAGCCCTCTTAGCATTGGACAACAACTATTCACAGTTACACCAATAATGCTGACTAGACACCTCCAAGGAGACTACATATATATATATAAACAACTCAGTTACAAATATTATGAATCACACCAAGCCTTGAATGGGTTCTAAGACTGGTTAAATCCACCCCTGGGATTTATCTTGAGAGACTGGACAGGCCAGCACATTTTGACTGTTTGCTGCCCATGCCACATCTTTGTCCTCAGTGTGGGCTTGTCTTTACTGCTGCCACACTCACCATCTGCTCACCAACAGCCATCTCTTCCATGAAAAAACTAAGGGAGGGCAAGAAACCCTGTAAATTCTGATTGTTTAACCTAACCCAGTTCTGACTATTTTAGATTTAAGGAAAAAGATTAAAGTACATGTTTAATATTCCTACCTAATTCTGAGTGTAGCATTTCACTCATATGAAAAAAGCTTATGAATGCATTCATATTTACTATTCATAGTGAGAAAGCAATAGTATATAAAGTTTTCAGAAAGTCCCCAAGTCAAACCTCTAGAAAAGTGTGTAAAAATTTTTTTAACATATTTTCACATTTTTCTAAAATAGAAATGGACATGCCATCCGACCCCACTATTGCTCTTTTACGAGACTTCCATGGGCATTCATGTACACTACCACCTCCCCATCTTCCACCCCAGTCCCAAATTCTCATATTGAGCAGGTAGAGTCTCTTCCATAGACGGTTCAGTAAAAAAATAGTATATACAAATATCAAAAAGTTCACCTCAGCTATATACTGTACATCCATCAATTAAAAGCCAGCAAAAGACATAACATTTCAGTAATATAAAAATCATGCATTTCCATTAAGAAAGGATACACAAGAAAATGACAACAGAAAAATATAACTGCCTATGCTTTCTTTGAAATTAAAATATCATAATGATAAAAATACATGGAAATCTACACTCACTAATGACACAATGCAATCATGTATTCAAATGGGTATGAAATGGGGGATGAGTCTATGTACAGTGTTACCCTGCCTCTAAGAAACGAGGCGAACGCAAACTTATCAAATTCCGCCATAATGCAGACAAGGTCCTCGGGGAGGTGACTGAATGCCCCTAGAATCTCACCGTGATAAAATCTGGGTCAGGATATGTTGTCTCCACACTTAGCCAATGTTGTGTGCTTCTTTGGTTATTCATAAAAAAGGAGATCAAGTCAATATGACAAGCCAGTTAATTCGACAAGAGCAAACGGTCATGCTATAAATGTATAACATGCAGAACTTTTTTTGTGATCCCCCTTAATGAGACAAGGCTAACTGAGCCTTTTAATTAAAAAAAAGAGAGACGAAGTTACTGGCTCGCCAATCTGATGACTGGCGAAGTTTTACCCACTTCACATGTAAGGATTCTCCCGCTGAGTACATGGCATTCTATATCCTCCTCCTGTGTTAAACTTCGCAAGCAGGCTATGTGTGAAACTGTAATATAGACCTCATTACAGTCTCAACTATTTAGCTACAAAGTTTTTTTAATCCCTACAAAAGTTGCAGGTCTTTTCTTACACAGTACTAGTAACAGCAAAAGACAAAAAAACTAGAACTGTTAACTTGTCACAAAAACACCCGCATATGCTAGATGATCAAACGTACTAACAAGGACAGTATCAAAATTCAAACACGCAAAAATACAAATTCTATATGGATCAAAATTATCCTAGTGCAAAAATCTGCATATCACACACGTACAGTGCTGATGGCTACTCTAGCAGGCAAGAGAAGACAAAAAAAAAATACAAGTAAGTACACTAACTCTCAAATGTGAATATTTGAACTATTTTTGACCATGTACTGATTAGACTACTGTATTTTCTTATTAAAAGTCTGTCTAATTGAGTTTCATTCATGCACAGTTAATATCCAATTTGTGTTCAAGGATTTGTGTAATAATTATACTGAAAACAAGAATGGCAACACTTGTAATATGAACAACAGCCAAGTAAATACAGTGCTGTGCAAGACAAGAGTAAACAAAAGTTGTCTTTTGGTTATGAGATTTTGCTTTTTGTATATTGTGTATTATGGCATTGTAACAATTTACAGGTTAGTATTCTGCAGTATGAGAGTTTAATAAGGGAAGGGCACTGTAGCACGGTGCAAGCTGAGTACCGAGAATTGTACATTATGGAGATGGCAGCTATGTAAGTCCTGAACTGAGAATGTTGAGGGTGAGGGTTGAAGGTGAGGGTTGCACATTACAAAATAAATTAGGACTTAGGTCAAAAACTGTGCACTGCAGAGTTGAGAGAGTTGAGTGTAGAGTAGCCAGCAGCTGACACTGTGGTATGGGTTGGGGCATCCAGGCCATAGCAGTTAATACATCACAAGCCAGAATGCAAAAAATTATTTGCAGGGAAAAAAGAGAGACATTGGACATGGCTTACGGAGGTATTTAATAACCAAGATATTTTTTTTTCTATCAACTGCCTTGCCCTTGACAGCCCCAAGAGTACAGTACCTATGGATTCCTAGAGCCAAGGATATACCCTTGGCTTGCCTTTAATAAGGTGGTTAATCTGTCATTGACTATAGCCTAGACAGCAGGAGACTCTCCCTCACCCTATCACTTTCAGTATTTCTTTAAGTTTTATTCTGGTGGACAGAAATAGCGATGTGTATATACGGGTATATATGTATGTATATATGTGTGTGTGTGAGTATATATATATATATATATTGTGTGTATGTGTTATTTATAAATACAGCATGTGTGTTATATATATATATATATATATATATATATATATATATATATATATATATATATATATATATATATATATATATATATATATATATATATATATATATAATATACATTACTGTATATATGTATATGCCAACTTTGGGATTTACATAATTGCTGACCATTAATTCCTCTCTTTCAACAAGTGTTATTTCCCTATCCTAATTACGTATCAAGAAAGCAATATGCCCTCATTTATGTATGTACAACTGTGATGTTGTTACAGTCAAGTCAGGGTTAACCTTCCCCCTCCATCAGTCTCCTGCTCACTCTTAAGTCTACAATACGAAAAGCAATACTCAACGCAGGTCTTGTTTTAATAATGCCCATTTTTTCCCTTTCTATCATTAAAAAATGGGCTCAAGTTAAATACAATCTGAAATTCAGCATTGCCCTCATAGCCGTCTACTGCAGAATGTTAGAGAGACTTGTGCGCAGTATGACGCTCCTGGTCTAAGACTTTCTAGGTCAGTGGGTATAAGACGAGCCTGACTGCTATAATGTGGCCCGCATTAACGATGGCAATGAAAAGTGTCTTGAACTGACTCGAGATTACTATTGTTCTTCTGACCCACAGAACACAGACTACTCTGCTCTCTAGGAAAACATTCCTATCAGTTATTAATATACATACAATATTAAATAGCACTGAAGCAGAAGCCGTAAACTATACTCATATTGAAAATTATAAAACACCATCCTATTACATTACAGTAATAATGCTTACATATGCACCATAGTAATCTTTGGGGTTATGTCGAACAAGAAATTTTGCAAAAATTCTGTTAGTACAATATAATAGAACAAGGCTATGACTTGTGTTGACGCTGGAAAAACTGGTCAAGTTGGGTGTATGTTTAACACATCTCACTGGTTGACAAGTAAGCCATTCAGTGGGCAAGCTTGTAAAAGATACTACAAAGATTTCTGTAACACAGAAATTGATTTCACTACGATGGGAAAACTACATCTGCATCATCAGCCCGTGTGCTTCTGCCAGTTGCTGAAAAAACTGCGAAGTAGAAAAATCTGGCCCATCTAGAAAAAGAGGTGTACAAACATCGTCCTATCACAAGTGAGCAATGCTATCCAATGGCCGTCATGTGGAAGAAAGAGCTAAGCCTTTGGGAGACAAGCATGGGGCTGACAATTACTCTACGGTACACTCTGCTTCACCCACACACAGAAACACGTCAAGCTTCTTTGAGACGCCACAATCAACATGGCAGTTTTTGCTTGTTGTTTTTTTACTTTTTTTTATACCGTAAAGTGATGGCTTTTGCTTACAGTGTTGGATGTGAGATATAAGTATGAGGCATCCAGTGGGGTTAAAGGGGGGAGTACTGACTTTGCTTGGTGACTGCTTCAATGAGTTGCTTGAAGTTTTCTTGATATCCTTTAGTTTAGACCCACAGCAGTTGGCAGCCATGGGGGTATCCTTAGTATATGGCAAATTTCTTCTCATTACTTGTTTGTGAGGCACCATCCAGGTTCCCGGTGCCACCGCCAGGGAGATCTACAAGTATAGAATTACGTGTGATGAAGGGACATAACAGGCGGAATAGTACTATTTCTGTTGCTGTTTTGCTTCAATTGCCTAATAGGATCAGGACTTGAGGATAAAATTCTTGGAATGCGGAAAAGCATGAGGAAAAATTGTCACTGGGTCTACCATGAAACTAAAACATTGGAGCCTAGCACCACCTGAACGGTACAGTGCGGGGGCGATCAGCACCCTCTTTGACTAGCGGCTTGTGGAATTCACGTCCTGGACGAGAGTGGATCGTCTGCCAACAGTGTTCACAGTAGTATTGCAGGCAAGTAACATTGGCACAGAAGAAAGGGGCAAACTTGCCCCCACATCGTGCCCCCTGACATTCATCACACATCTGGTCATCTAGGACATATGGTTTCACCTCAACCTGAAAATGATTAACAATTTTAGTTACATGTTAAATTTGGTACAAAATAAATACACAGGGAAGTACCAGCTGATAACTGAGGAGTCTCACATCCCCAGAGAATACAAGGAACATAATTTAGGAAAAAAATATTGATAGTTGAGTACTTTTTTACTTATATTCCCTGTGTGTGTGTGTGTGTTTGTAGATGGATGGTTCAGAGAACCGACATGTTGATAAATTAGACACATGTGCAACTCTTGGGTATCTTTATTGAGGAAACGTTTTGCCACACAGTGGCTTCATCAGTCCATACGTAGGAGAAACTTGAAGAACATGAGGAGAATGAGGTAATCAGTCCCTCAACCTTGAGTCGATGTGTTCAGTCCATCAATCTGCAACTTCTTGGGATCTTAATACTTAGGAATTCTTCGCTTGCCTAATTCTTGGGCACGACCTACTTCCACATTGAACAAATGTGACACCACCTATGACTGCTGCACCTCTCCTGCCATACGGTTTATAAGCTGCTTCTCCACTCATATGCCGTATTCTACTCAAGATTGATGGACTGAACACATCGACTCAAGGTTGAGGGACTGATTACCTCATTCTCCTCATGTTCTTCAAGTTTCTCTTACGTATGGACTGATGAAGCCACTGTGTGGCGAAACGTTTCCTCAATAAAGATACCCAAGAGTTGCACGTGTGTGTGTGTGTGTGTGTGTGTGGTGTTGTGTGTGTGTGTGGTGTGTGTGTATGTGTGTGTGTTGTGTGTGTGTGTGTGTGTGTGTGTGTGTGTGTGTGTGTGTGTGTTGTGTGTGTTGTGTGTGTTGTGTGTGTTGTGTGTGTGTGTGTTGTGTGTGTTGTGTATTGTGTATGTATTTATATATTAATGCTACATTATTACTGATGCTATATCGTCACAGATGAACCAACACAAAAAAAAAAAATTGCAGTAAAACACAATAAATTTTCAGGTTATCAAAAACGTTCATTATTTTCTGTACATTTAAAAAAACAATACTTACCCTTTTATCAATATCACCATGTTGTAACTGTACAAATCGGGCACTGATGGCAGCAATATAACTTTGCTGGTTTGAAAACGCAACTCGGCCAGCACCTTTTGGGTATTTTAATTCCGGGTCTGTGTCAATCCCCGCGTAGCAAACTCCACCATAAAGTCGATCCATTATCATTGCAAGTTCAACTGTTGACAAGGAAGTGATTTGTTAAAATTACACAGTAATTTAAAATTTCTAGAGTGTATTATGCGACTTGTCTGTAATGGACATTCACACAAGTTAATGTGAAGTTTTGGTAATGCAATTAAGTTGTTTTAATAGATACACATATATGTCAGTGCAATACAGTTGCAAAGAGGCAATTTTAACAATGTAGAACAAGCCACATGGGGATGGAAATCTTTAGCTCTGGATCGCTCACACTCTCATGCATTGTCAGGAGCTTTGCAATTTGCAAGACAGCAACAGATAAGAGGGGAAATTCTCTGAGGCAAAGCAGAAGGTATCAGTTATAATCCATGATACTCTGGGTCATGGGTTACCACTGATACCTTCTGCCCTGCTTCAGAGAATTTCCCCTCCTATCTGTTGCTGTCTTGCAACACTGCATAGCTCCTGACAATGCACAAGAGTGCAAAAGTTTCAGTTAAACATCTCTGTCCTCATGTGGCTTGTTCTGCATGTATGTCAATATTAAAATCTACTGCTATTGTAGAAGCTTGCAGTGGGTGAGACATATCCATAATATGTGTGTTAATACTAACATATATGTCTTCCTCACATACTTGTTGGTGTTCATCACCAGTTTAGACATGCGCTATTCAGAGATGCATGTTACTGTGACATAATAACAGAAAAAAAACACAAAACAGGTGTGATTTGAACCCCATGGTAAGGGAGACATAAAACTCCCGGCCACTGTGTTAACTACTAGACCAGATGGCTACAATAAGATTCATCCAGATAGGTAAACAGCCTCTCCTCACTTAACAATAGAGTTCTGTTCCTAATACCACGTCGCTAAGCGAATTCATCACTAAACAAGAAGCATACTATAATGGTAGTGGGTTTATGTCAACTATCAGTCCGTACGCTGAGGTCAGTGGTCACGTGTGGTCATACCTGTCCTGAGCTGTCTGGGTATTAGCATGGGGTGTTACCAAGCACCATGGCTTGTTGTAGTGTTTTAGCATCTCAGGTTAAAGTGTTGAAGAAGGAGGTTCTTATTCAGGAGGAAAATAGGAGGCTGAAGTTTTGCCTAGATGTGTTTGGGAGTGAGTGTGAGATAGTTGGTGCTGTAAGGAGGAAATGCTTACCACCAGTGAGAGTAGCAGCCGCTCTAAGTGGCAAATGGTTCACAGTTCAGGAAGAAGGAAGATAAGGAGGGTTAATAAAAAAGATGATAAGGTAGGAAATCGATTCTCTGTTCTCCAAGACGAGTGTACTTCAGTGGTTAGTGAGGTTAAAGGTACCTCTGACTCCCCTCTTAATCAAAGTAAGAATATTCTGATTGTGGGAGACTCTCAGGTAAGGTATATGGACCGTTTTTTTGTAAAAAGAGATAGAAAAGTCAGACAGAGGGTGTGCCTCCCAGGAGCTGGTGTTGGTGACATAGTCAGCAGGTTGGATATTATTATGTCTGGTAATGGGAACAAGCCCATTATCTGTCTTAGTGCTGGTGGAAATGACATTGGGAAGGACAGGAGACAGGAGCTACTGGATAAGTACAGGTCAGCCATAGTAGTAGTCAGGTCTAAGGGAGAGATCCCTATCATATGTAGCATCTTGCCTAGAAGGGGAGAGGGCAATGAATGGATGTCTAGGGTAATTGGTATAAATTGCTGGCTAGACAGGTACTGCAAGGAACTTGCAATCCCATTCATTGATAACTGGGACAAATTCTATGGCAAGCATGATATATATGCAAGGGATGGGGTTCATCTCTCTGAGGTTGGAATGGTTGCATTAGCCAATTTGGCTGAGGGGGTAACTGATGACTTGTCTAAGACTTTAACCCTTTCAGGGTTTCGGACGTACTAGTGCGGCTTACACACCAGGGTTTTTGACGTACTAGTACGCCTAAATTCTAGCGCCCTCAAATCTAGTGAGAGAAAGCTGGTAGGCCTACATATGAAAGAATGGGTCTATGTGGTCAGTGTGTGCAGTATAAAAAAAAATTCTGCAGCACACAGTGTGTAATGAGAAAAAAAAAATACTTTGACCGTATTTTTGTATGGTATTTATTGTTGTATTCTAGTTTTCCTGGTCTCATTTTACAGAATGGAATACATATTACAGAAATTGAGATGATTTTGACCGGTTTTACAAAGAAAAGTACCTTGAAATTGAGCTCAAAGTAGCAGAAATGTTCGATTTTTACCGAAGTTCAAAAGTAAACAAATCATGCTAAGCGTCCACTACACATTAACTGGTGAGTCTAATATTCTTTCACAAGTGTGCCAATATTATTTATATTATTTCTACACTAATGCAGTAGTCTGCATAACAGTAAATCTTCTATTTTTTTGTGAGAATAAAAATTCAAAGTGGAAAGCAAAAGAATGTAAGAGGTGCATGGGGATGTGACTAATGAACAGAGGAAATGTTATTTTAGTGCCAGGAATGTCTTTCTTGTTTATTCTGAACCCTATTTGGAAATTGGCATCTTTTGAAATTTGTGTGAAATTGGCAAAATTGCTAAATTCTGACCACTGTATTGGATAGTTGAAATTGGTAAATGGGTGGTTTCTTGTACTCATTCGATAGGAAAAATGGAGTTCTAGCGAAATAGTTATGATTTTTGTCGACTAGTACACTGGAATTGGCCGAAAATAGGGCTCAAAGTGGGCAAAATTGCCGATGCGTAAACTTCGTCGAGACCTCTAACTTCGCGAGAGCATAATTCCGTAAGTTTTCCATCAAATTTCATACTTTTGGTGTCATTATGATCGGAAAAAGATTCTCTATCTTTTCATAAGGAAAAATAATTTTTTTTTTTTAATTTGGGCAACCCTGAGAACAAGTCTGGAAGAGGGCCTGGGAACCCTGAAAGGGTTGAACTGATAGATTATAGAGGTATGGGTGTTTGTGGGAAACAATCAGGCTGCAGTATTATTATTGGAAACAGCAGATATTACCAGGATACCTCAGGGATATGTTTAAAAGATAATATTCAAAATAAAGTTCCTAATAAAGGCAAAGCAACTGATCAACAAACAAAGAGAGATAGTAGAGGGCAACGAGTGACTAGTTCCCTTAAGGTTCACTATACAAATAGTAGGAGTCTAAGAAATAAGATAGATGAGCTAAGATTACTCACAAGTGTAGGTAATATAGATATTATTGCCATAACTGAGACTTGGTTCAACTTAAAGGATAGAGAATTGCCTTTTGAATACATCATAAAGAGTTATAAACTATTCCACACTGATAGGGTCAACAGGAAGGGTGGTGGAGTGGCGATGTATGTCAGAGATAATTTAAATTGTTGTGTTAGACATGATATATGATTAGAAACATAAGACACAGAATCTGTTTGGCTACAGTTTCTCGAGGGGTATGAAATATTAATTTTGGGTGTGATATATAGGCCCCCAAATCTTGATAGAGAGTGCAGTAAGCTGCTATGGGACGAAATTCATAAGGCATCTAAATATGAAAATGTTGTATTAATGGGGGGTTTTAACTTTAGACAAATTGATTGGAACAATTTGACACGAAATCTTGAGTCTAGTGACTTTCTTGATACAGTTCAGGATTGCTTTTGGAAACAGTTTGTGACAGAAGCAACTAGAGGAAACAATCTGCTTGACTTAGTTCTTGCCAACAAAGATTCACTAATTAATAATCTTGAGGTTAATGATGAGCTTAGGGAAAGTGATCACAAATCACTTAGTTTCAATATACAGTGGACCCCCGCATAACGATCAGCTCCCAACTCGACCAATTATGTAAGTGTATTTTTGTAAGTGCTTTTGTAGGTGTATTTTTGGGGGTCTGAAACAGACTAATCTAATTCACAATATTTCTTATGGGAACAAATTCGGTCTATAACGGCACCCAAACAGACTTCTGGATTGAGATAATATCGTTATGCGGGGGTCCACTGTATTATGGAATTACCCAGTAAACTGCAATCAGGTCTCTGTCCCAGACTTTCAATTGGCTGATTTCATGGGACTGAAAAATTACCTGGGTGAGCTAAATTGGGATGATCTGACTATGGGTCAGGTAGCTAGTGTTGGTTGCTAATATGACATTTTTCAGAGCATAGGTCTAGCTGCTCAGTCAACTTTTGTTCCGAGTAGTGAAATCAGATATAACAAAAATGATCCCAAATGGATGAACAATAGATTAAAACAGCTCATTGGTCAAAAGAGGGGGGATGGGCAGTTAAGAAATCAATATATTCAATTAAAGAGAGAAATAAATAAAGGAATAAGAAAAGCAAAAAGGGATTATGAGGCGAAGGTCGCAAGAGATTTGAAGACTAACCCAAAAGGGTTCTTTCAGGTATACAGAAGTAAGATTAGGGACAAGATAGGCCCACTTAAGAGTAACTCAGGTCAGATCACTGACAGTGATAGGGATATGTGTGAAATTTTCAGTTCCTACTTCCTCTCAGTTTTTACTCAGGAAGATACTAGTGAAATTCCAGAATTAATAAATTATGTAGAAGAGGACGATAATAAACTATGCACGATTAGGGTAACTAGTGACATGGTCCTCAGACAAATAGAGAAATTAAAACCTAACAAATTCCCAGGCCCTGATGAACTGTTTGCAAGGATTTTAAAGGAATGTAAAGAGGAACTTAGCATACCTTTGGCTAATCTTTTCAACATATCACTACAAACTGGCATAGTGCCTGACAAGTGGAAAATGGTAAATGTAATACCTATTTACAAGGCAGGTAACAGGTCCTTAGCTTTGAACTATAGACCAATAAGCCTTACCTCCATAGTGGGAAAACTTATGAAATCAATAATTGCCGAGGCAATTCATAGCTATCTTGATAGGCATAAATTGATAAATGAATCTCAACAGAGTTTTACTAACTTTTTTCACTAAGGTGTTTGAGGAGGTAGATCATGGTAAGGAATATGATATTGTATATATGGACTTCAGTAAGGCTTTCAATAGTTCCACATCAGAGACTTTTGAGGAAACTTAAGGCACACGGAAT